ATGAATTTGGTGTTCCAAGATCACGGTGTTTAACACGTCTCAGAAAGGCTAAGCGCGCCTCAGCATGCGCCAAGCCGGAAGCCAAAGCCGAGGCCAGGCGCATCGTCATCGGCCCAGCAAAGTTCAAGGCCTTAGAGGTGCGGAGACGGACGCCCTGGCAAGATGCCTCCCATTTGTTCCCAAATATCACGATATGTCGACACCGAAGGCGAGCAGTGCTTAGGCGAACTGCCCGTTTTGTTTGCATGACTTGCAGAATGGTCGATGACGACACATGTGCACATACGCACACACACACACACCCAACCGCACAGTTTCTTGACGCATGGGCACCGTGCTTTTGGCGCAGCCGGGCAGAGGGTGATTATTGCTTCACCTCCTTCTCATGCAAGTAAATGGCTCAAGAAGGATTTGGTCATACGAGGCTAGTTGTCCAGTGGCTTAAGACACGTTTGGTCTTACAAATCGAGTTGCTATCCAGTGCTAGCCTGCTTGCCCCATTTAGGAGCTAAATGTAGATTGGGGAGCCATCATTGTGCAGTGGCTTTGCTTGCCGGGTTTGTTTCATAGATCTGGCCTTGTTCTCCTTGCCCTTGTTCTTCACAGATTCCTGTTCTTGATTCTGTGCTGCTTGCGGACTACTTCGACTTTCAACATGTGTGTGAGTCCAGTGGCCTTCTGGCCAGGATGACCTGGTGGGAGTGAGATACTCAGCCGGAGAGGGAGGTAAGGGGCGGCCTTGAAGGCGGCGGGTTCTTGCCCTGGCATGTTGAGTGCTCATATGGCCCGAACCAGACATGGCTTGCCAGGAAATGTAAGCCGCAGCACAGCACAACATTGAAAGAAAGCAATCGAACAGAATCCGAAGCATAAAGTACAAGGCCAGCTGATACTAGCTGATGCGGAGAGGAATCAGGCTGCCCGACATCATTGTTCACGTTCGATTGGCGGCGTCGCCCGGTTTTTGACGTATCATGTCGCAAAGAAAGCCTGGCCAGAGGATAGCTCGGAAATGTCGGTGAAACCAGCGGCATTCAGACGGGTTTGGCCATGATCTCCGTTTCTCCGCTGACGAATTTGCAGCTGATTTACCCCCCAACTTCTAGGTTTTAATCCATCCCAACCGGATTTTGAGGAGCCCCCCCCCAGTGGCCCATTTTGGCGGAGACATCCCCTAGGCCTCTGCGGAGCGCATCGCGGAGTCGGACGACCTGCACGAGGCCGCGCCGGCCTCGAAGCGGGCGGCAGCGTTGTGCCGGGCGGTTTTCCGGTTGCTGTCCTTGAAGAGGCGAAAGGGGTGGCCGCCAAGAAATCATCAATGCAGCCAGATGGAGCCATAGGGCTGGTGGGTTTTTCTGTGGTTTGTCTCTAAATACCGACCAAAGGGGGGGAGAGAACCGCAGGTGCTGCGGCAGAGCGACATTCTTTCGACTAAATTCCAGGCCTGTCGGTCGATCGGGAGCACAAATAGGCTTGGACCACTACGAAGCCAACCATTTAAAGAAGTTCCCCTTGTATCCAGTCTGTTTCAGGTCTGTGCTCGGTGCTTCAGCTGAGGCATCCCGCTACATCTCTGTGGCCACCGATGTGTTTAGGCGCACGTACCTTCCAATTTCAGTTTGGGGCACAAGGCGGCACTGGGGTCCAAACTTCCAAACAGGACGTGGTGTTTTTGGCAAGACCCGGATGGAAGTGGAGACGCAACTCACCGAAAAGCTTCGATTGCAGACTTTTTTGCGTTTCTGGGCATGGCCACCCCAGACCATGGTTTGACGCCTAAACGCAGGTCGAATGCTTCTGCGATGCAGAAGATGCACTCCCCTCAGGTTGTGCAGTTGCAGCCATGGGCACCCGCTTTTGGTTTGGTGGTGCTGCCACTCGGCGTGCCATGCTTTCGGATGAAGGGCTCGGCGGCAGTGCGGGGGGCCAAAGTCAGCTTAGGCCCCCGGACGAGTTCGAGAATCTCTTGCACCCGGTCTTCCAGGAAGATGAGCGCACTCCTCGGGCATGAGTAACAGAGATCCATCAGCTCTTTCGTTGCCTCAGTTCCCTCAATCATCTTCAGCCCCCATCGCCTTAAAATGGGAACCTTCGCAAGCACAAGGCGAGGCGCGCAGTTCTTCCAATATTTTGCCCTTGCACCGAGCAGGGCCTCATCCGTGGTTGGCTGTCGTTCGCTCCCGCTTTTGCGGGGCGGGCTGTTTAAAGCAATTGCTTACCAGCCACTCGGCGCACGGAAGCTCCTGGCATTGGCCATTTAGTCAGCAGCGATGTGGGCCTTGCCCAGGTGGATTCTGATCCTACTGGGGGGTGTGCTGGGTGCAGTGGCCTGAAGCCTAGTTGTATCATGTATCCGCCGGGTCCGCCAGTTCACTTTCAGTGGCTGTCGGCCCTGAGTGCTCAGCCAACACATCTTGTGCATCTTGTGCTCTGAGGTCGGATTTGCACAGGTGCACTTCCTGTCTGAGTGAGATGCCTCGATCAGTTTTCGCATGGCTAGAAAGGCGCGCTTGAGCAGACGTTTGGGATGATGAATCTCTTTGCATCGCGGGGGGGGGGTTTGTCGCGAAGGGGGACCCAATTCTTTTCCAGCGGACCTTTTAACATTGCTTCAAAACGGTAGTCATCCATTTGATCACGATTGCCTGCTTAGCCATTCTTATCAGCTTTGGGAGCTATTGCTCATATGCGTGCATTGGGATCAGCTGATGCATATGTACACAAGTTGCCAGCCAGTCGGATTAGGCAGTTGCGAGGCACACCGCTTAGACTTTTGACCAGCGCAGCTTCATGTTGCGCACCTAAGCGCAACCAGACAGTCTGTCAAAACTTACAGCAGGCTCGGTCGATCACGCGAAGGAAGCACGGGGCGGCTATGCTTCAAGGTCCAAGGTATCATCAGCGGAAGACACCAGCAGTGGACTGCAAAGTAGACTCTAAATGTCCACGGAGGGTGAGACGGATCCCTAGATCTGGGTGTGTGCACTTTTGAGGGCAAAGCCCTTGTTGGGTTGTTTGAAAGGAACACTAGCAGGAAATCAAGTTTTCGAACGACGACACGACAAAGCAGAACCTGGCAACATGGAAATCGCTTTCCCATAATCTGTCAGACCTCTGCTCTATGTCAGTTGTGCTTGCTTGGGGAGAGTAGTATTGGTACTGCCTTGTCTTTTTGCAGATTGAACTTATAGTTTGCAGAGCACAACAGCCATGGAAAAGAAGTACGATTGCACACATCATGGCGCTGCCGCGCTGCGAGCAACAACTTTCGACATGATGCTTGGAAGCGACTTGGACTGAGGGATTCGACAATAGTTGTCATCTGACAGCAGCATGTTTTGACATCCCAACGCCATGACGCTCTCCCACGCACGGCGAGCTCCACGCCCAGGACACGGACTACAATTTGCAGACTTGAGCTCGTGCCCACAGAATGAACAGGTCTCACTGGCGAGCTGCATGTTGGATATGGTATTAGCCTGCGAGAGTCCTGCTTAGCGGCTCAGGGGAGAAGAATGACATGGCTTTGACATTGTATGAGGGTCCTTTAGTCCGACCCCAGGGCAGTTGTTGCGTTGGCAGTGATTGGTTTTGGCGGCCCGTTGGAATGGATCCCTTCTTCGCCTCTTTGCTAGTCCTTCTGGACTAACGCAACTGTGCAGGAGTGGAAGACGAAGATTCCCTGGCTCCCGATGTGCAAAGCTCCATCTTGTCAGCCTTGCTTCAGGACGGATTTTGACTTGTAACACTGGGCTGGGTTCAACCTACAATTGCACAAAATTGGCCCTCCTCCCCCCTTTTCTCACGTGGCCTTGCTTGGGGTCCCCATCTCCCCGGGCTCGGTTTGTGGTTTGTTTCATAGGGTTATGGGGTGCAGGCTGTCCGAGCGTGAAAACGGGGGAATACTATTGCAGGGGTGATCTCGACCCACGACCTAGGAGCACACAGTCACGCGTGCATGATCGATATGTTACATGCACACATAAACCGCGAGGCAACTGGAACTCCAACCCTTCCCCAAAAAAGAAGAACAAAAAAACAAGAAAGAAAGATTGCAACTCGAACAGAAGAGCAGTAACGCAAACTCAGCAACTCGAACACTCGAACTACAACTACAGGAAAGGTACAGTAACTCGAACTCGAACTCGAACTACAAATACAGGAACTCGAACTCGAACCCGCCAATTATCCTAATTACCTACAATAATTAGCAGAATTAGGACACATGTTTTCTGGAATTCCTAATTCTTCTAAATATGTTCGGTGGTTTTTGCACGTTTGCAATTTCCACCGAAAATACTTAGAATAATTAGGAGATCAAAGAACATATTCTGCACATGTTTTCATTGTTAGAATAATCATTTTAAGTATGTTTTCCGGCATTTTGTGTGTGGGGTAGAAGCATACAATAAACATGATAAATAAATAATACATAAAATGATAATAATGATAATAAATACATATATAAATAAATAAAGGAATAATTCAATTGAAATACATACAAATAGACACAAATAAAATAATAAGAACATACCATGAAAAAATAGTACTTGGAATTATTAGGAAATCTAGACACATATTTTAATCATGTTTTCCGGGATTTACCAATTATTCTGTGTTTTTTCCACTTTTGCAATTTTCTACGTGGACTTCGGGTTAGACCAGACTGCAAGCAGCACCGCTACGTGAATGGAGAGAATGGGTCCACAAACCGAAATCAAGCCGCACTGCAGGCATGAATAAATCAAAGATTTTGCGAGGCTAAGACTACCTGTGCTTGGGCGCTAGTGGACTTCTTTTTGCGCCAAACAAGAATTGCAGTCTTTGGTTCCACTTGAGGCGCTTTTCACTTGTTCATCTTGTTCCGAAGACTAAAGAGAGACTGCGCTGAAGGAGTGACCGGCATGTAAACAAAGAACATCGCGTTTTGTCCCAATATCGTCCAGAGCGGCCTGCACAAGGTCTCTAACCTGCCAATTTAACCGCGTGTAAACACGTAAAGAGGGTACAGGAAGGAGGCAAGCAATGGACGGAGCGCGTAAACTGTGACCTATATGTCAAGAGCACCACTGGTTCAATACAGAACCCGTGCACACATGTCGCATTTACACCTTACTAGCAGGCAACACGACGTACACAATACAGGTACAGTACCCGGATGGTATTGTAAAAAACAAGCAAGTACAAGTAAAGACATTGTGCATACTAATATGTACTGCAGTCCAACCTGGCATCGAAGCCTGCGGGCGTGAAAGGGCGATCCACCGTTATTCCGCCGAAACACGAATTGAACATACATATGTCTGTAGATCTAGATACACATGTACACAATGTACACAGACATGCATGCCTTTCCATGCCTGGGGCGGCCTGCCACAGCCTCCACCAAACATGTTGAGTTGTAGATTTAAAGGACCACTTGCAGAAAGAACCACTTGGACCTTGGATCTTGGACCACTTGGCCCTAACATGTGAATGTAATCCGTAAAGGACCACCCGGATCTTGGGCTTTCACTTTTTGGTGCCCCGCTGGCCAGGATCCGCCGCCGGCGCTGGGCCGCAAGGAGAGCAGATCCCCCAACCGGAGCGCAGGCGCGGGGTGCTTGACCCAAGCACTCACCGAAGCACCGTGTTGGTAAGTGGGAGGTCAATCAGGGATCCATGCACGTAGGGTGTGGGTTTGTGGGTTTGAACTTACACAAGACAATGCTGGGATGTTGAGCTCGCGATGGACCAATGAGGCAGCATTCCCACGCAGGTCCACGGCCCGAGCAGTGGTATCTTATTTGGGTGATGTTGGGGTGCTGGTGCTGGTACACGTGTTCCGGAGGAAGGTGATTACCGGGTGCCACCGGTGCGCAGCGCTGCAGGGCTGGTTTTGCTCCAGGTCCTGACAGGAGTAATGGGAACCAAGGATGTGGATGAATATGTTTTTTATTGTTTCTCCGCAGTACAAGTAGTTGAGCACGACGTAGCGGAATTTGGGGTAGTTCATCTTGCCACCTTCTCCGCAAGTACTGACTGTTGATTGTCTCTCTGACCCACATTAGCCGCTATATAGCTGGTCAAAATGTTTGGTGCGAATAAAGTTCCTTCAGTTGAATCTGTGAATAGTTGGGTCCATTTGGCCCATGCATTTGGAGGAGACGCGTCATGAAACTTGAGGATCTTCCGAAATTCTCGTGCGGATGAACAGGTTTCAGACCTCCGCCTACCGAAGGCTTCCAAATACCCGGGTCGGTGTTGGAAACGTTGAGGCACCAGAGACTCAAACTGTCGACAAGAGTTCCCAAGGCTACTTCCAGCGACGCAGTGGACCAATCTAGCATCACTTTACGCAGTCTTAGGTTCCAATGGTTCCATTCGGGTATGGGTCAAAATTAAACCAGCAGGGGACCAGATTGTGGTTCATGTTTCCACTTACAGGGGTTCCATTTGGGGTGCGTACTTTGACCTACAGCCATGTGTTTCGTTGGGTCAGTGACAGGTCGGCCGCCGCTGGCGGCGGCAGGCGCTGCAGCTCTCCGGGAGGCGCTGCGAGGGTCGAGCTTCCGGCTGGAAGACATCTCGAGTAAGTCAAAGCCATTGGTTGCACTTGTAGGTTGGACGTGGAGGGCCTGCAAGCTAGCGTCGAAGTCATTTTTGTGACAGCTCATAGCTCCGCTTATGTGGTTCTTACCCGCAACACCGGCATACACAGCTGTCTGCAAAGGTACGGGTCGGCTGCCCAGCACACGCCAATAATTCAAAGAGCTTGCCACATTTCCTCCATAGGTCCGCTTATCGTCATGCTTCCTTGCATGTATAGTGCCGGCCAATATCGCTTCATCGACATGGAATGCGCGATGCTGTTGCTTGTAAGGCTTTTCCAGAGGGCTGCGCTACGTTGCCACGACGGTTTGTGCATTTTGACGTTTCAGCGTTGGAATGAATGCGAAGTCCAAAGTGCTACACTCACTAACGCTTGCTGTTCACTTCCCTAGTGTTTCTAAGCACGCTTCAACTAAAGATAATTGAAAAAGAGGGTACGACGGTTCGAAAAAGACGGAGGCCACTTTAGCTGGCAGGGCAATTATTCTTCAGACTGCCCCGCTAGTTGGCACATGTGCAAATATATTCTGCGCCACCCCAAATATTTTGAGATTCCTGCGTGAAAGCACAAAAGCCAGCAGTGCTGTGCAGTCAATGAGTTGATGCTTCTCGCGAGTCGTGTGCTTGCAAATGCCAATGCTGCTCAGCATGTTTTCCTCCTGTGTAAAGCGGAGCTGCAGACACTGCGTTCGCAAATGCTTTTGCGACTGTATTTGTGGTTCTGGCAATGGCACAGGTACTTCCTCAACACTTTGTGCATGGCCAGTTCAAGATTTGACGCCACAGCAAACCAGTATACCAGTGAGGAAAGGGCTAGGCTAAATGCCAAAGGGCGCTCAATCATTGTCAGCCTGTGGCGCCATCGATTCTGAGCAGGCAGTTGGATATGAATCTGCTGTAACCACAAAC